AATGGAGTCCCATGTATTTTGCAAAAGCATAGAATAAAAGTCAGAAAGAATATATACAGACTCTGGCTACCTTTTAGAAGGCTGAGGGTAGCCATGGATGATAGGAGTTCAGCGGGGGTGGGGCGGCTTGAGCTTTCTCTGCAGTGCTATAGGTTTGGGGGAGGCAAAAGGGTTAATGAACCTCATGTAGAATAGAGGTTAATTTTTAATTTTTTAAAAATATATTTATTTATTTATTTTTGGCTGCATGCAGGCTTTCTTTAGTTGCGGCGAGTGGGGCCTATTCTTCATTGTGGTGTGCAGGCTTCTCACTGCGGCAGCTTCTCTTGTTGTGGAGCATGGGCTCTGGGCGCGCAGGCTTCAGTAGTTGTGGCTTGCGGGCTCTAGAGCGCAGGCTCAGTAGTTGTGGCGCACGGACTTAGTTGCTCCACGGCATGTGGGATCTTCCCGGACCATGGCTCGAACCCGTGTCCCCTGCATTGGCAGGCGGATTCTTAACCACTGTGCCACCAGGGAAGTCCCTAGAGGTTAATTTTTAAAAGAGTTTGGCTAGGGGAAACAGGTAGTGCATCTAGGGGGGTGGTTGGCAGAATACGTGAAAAGCTGAGAGAATGGCTAAGAAGGAATGGGAGAGCGTGTACTATGAGCAAAAGCCCTCTGGGGCTTGCAGAGGGGAGGAAAGAGAAGAGGAGGGTGAGAAAGTCAAGGAGCCTGGACACACAGAAGGGACCACTGGGGAGGGAAGGTGAAGAGCTGGGCTGCTCATTGCTTTGTCCTTGGCCGGGCTGGGAGCATGACCCACAGAGATGTGTTTCCTGATGCTTAAGTTTCCAGCTGTGACAACTAAAGTTCTTCCTCACACCCCTCCTATCCTCCTTTTAAGCAGGAGATCTGTTTCTTCCGCTGCTCAGATAGGAAGTTTTGATTATTTTTGCATAAGGACCCAGAATTGAAAATCAGTGCTCCTGCTACTGACCCCCCATCATCCAAAGGAAGTGGACTCTGGTCCTGGGCACACCTTTGCTGTCCAGGGCTGCCCAGCAGGACTGGAGACCTGCTTCTGCCCATGGCTGTGTGGATGGGGAACCTGCTTCTCCTGGGTCATGCTCAGGGGTCCTCAGGCTTACGAGGGGGTGGTGTGGGAGCCTCAGTTGCAGCCACCTGGCCAACCTTCAGCCCTGGGCTCAGCATCCCTGCACAGAGCTAGGCCAGAGAAATGCAAAAGGAAGAGTAAAACCAAACTCACCTCCAAGACTCCACAGTACGTGGGCTTTGGAGTCCAATCTGACTTCATATGCCAGCTCAGCCCCACGGCCAGTGTGTATAACTTTGTGCAACCTCAGATTTGCCATCAGGGTTTCTGGGAACTAAGCAAAATAAAATGTTTCGAGCCCTCAGCTCCATAATGGCACCCAGTATGTGATAGTGGTAGTTGAAAATAATGATGCTAACAATACATCTCCTCCTGTCTCCTCAAGACTTTTATCAGAACAGCGTACTATGTTTACGTACTATGAATGTGGTGACATACTTAGAATAGTTTATTCTAGTGTGATGAACAAGAAAACTGTGTTTTAACTCAGTAAGTCTTCCCCATCCTGGGTTTTGTAAAGTTGGAGTTTCACTGTTTCAAAAAGCTCTAGTGAGCCTGGATTGAGAAGGGTCAGCAAAGAAATTGTTTCCAGCTGTCCAAGGGAGGCTTGTTGGGAGAAATGTCAGCTCCTCTGACATGTTGGCTGGTCCAGGTGGGACCCCATTCAGCTCGTGAGGCACCCATCATTCCCCACAGCAAGGCCAGGACCAGGGAGAGGTGAGTGAGGCAATTGCCTGGGGGCAAAATTTAAGGAGGTGCCAAAAAACTCAGTAGTCAAGATAAGTAACATTTTACTGCAATATATGTTTAATAAGAATTAATGCAGGGACTTCCCTGGTGGCGCAGTGGTTGAGAATCCACCTGCCAATGCAGGGGACACGGGTTCGAGCCCTGGTCCAGGAGGATCCCACATGCCACAGAGCAACTAAGCCTGTGCGCCACAACTACTGAGCCTGCGCTCTTAGAGCCTGCGAGCCACAACTACTGAAGCCCGTGTGCCTAGAGCCCGTGCTTGGCAACAAGAGAAGCCACCCCAGTGAAAAGACCGTGCACTGCAACGAAGAGTAGCCCCTGCTCGCTGCAACTAGAGAAAGCCTGCGCACAGTAATGAAGACCCAATGCAGCCAAAAATAAATAAATTTTAAAAAAAAAAGAATTAATGCAAAAAAAAATTATGATGAACAAAATATCACCACTTTACACCCTGGCCTCCAGCCTCATCTTACTGACCCCTTCAGCAGCTGTGAGGCTCCTTTCTTGCTGGGTGTCTTGGGCATGGTTAGGTCTGCCCTGGTCTAGGGGAAGGGAACTGGGAAATGGGTTCTGTGACATGCCTTTCATCAGCATGGGGAGGAGCTAGGAAACCTTTCTGGACAATTATCTTTGAGTGTGTGTATGATTTTTTTTTAATTTTTATTTTTTGGTGACCTTCATTGAGGAAATGAGAGACTTAAAACATAGAAACAAGTGATAGGAACATGAGAGTTTATAGTAGAAAAAGCAGATTTGAAAACTTTTCAGAAAGTCTTCTACTGTCTGTTGTCTATTTTTCAGAAAATAGTCAAGAGTTTGCAAAACCAAGAACAATTTTTCAGTTTTAAGTGCTTTCGCTTTCCCCCAACAGTGCTGCTTCAGTAAATACAGGCTCAAGGGTACATCTTGTCTGCCCTTCTAGGATCTGAGCATTCTGTACACCTGGCTTGAAAGCTCAGCTGATTAGCTCTCAGACACCACCCATCTCAATCCTAGGCACATCCCCCCATCCCTGGCTGATGGGGCTGGATGCCCAGCGAGAGAGGATGTTTTCACCCAGGAAGAGACAGGAAACAGCTACAATGTAGAAGATGTTGGTTTGATGAGACAATCCATTAGTTGGTTGACCCCTTCCCAAAAGAAATGGGATTAGGGGGAAAAAAACCCCAAAAACCTTCTTCTGCAAGTTGGAAGTCATGTGACAAATGATTTTTGTTGCAATACAATATTTAAGTCAAACTAAATGAATAATAATATAATCATAGGCATTCTGCCATTCTTCTATATATTTTTTAAAAAAACTAATTTGAGAATATTTAGAATTAAGGTAAGCTGTTTGTGGCAATTATTTGTGGTGTGTATCCAAACACGCTGCTGGGCTTCCCTGGTGGCACAGTGGTAAGGAATCCGCCTGCCAATGCAGGGGACACGGGTTCGAGCCCTGGTCCAGGAAGATCCCACATGCCACGGAGCAACTAAAGCCTGTGCGCCGCAACTACTGAGCCTGCTCTCTAGAGCCCATGAGCCACAGCTACTGAACCCCGCCTTCCTAGAGCCCGTGCTCCACAACAAGAGAAGCCACTGTAATGAGAAGCCCGTGCACTGCAAAGAAGAGTAGCCCCCGCTCGCTGCAACTAGAGAAAGCCCGCACACAGCAACGAAGACCCAATGCAGCCAAAAATAATAAATAAGATAATTATTTAAAAAATAGAAAATAAACTCGCTGCTGAGGGGGCTGCAGTTCTATCAAGGTGGATGTCGGGAGACCAGGTCAGGGGAGCTGGAGGAAATCTAGGGGGAGAAGGACCCCACTTCCGAAAGAAATGGCAGTGGAGGCAGGCAGGCAGATTTTAAGTTTTCAGGCAAACACTGCTTTTGAAAAAACTGGCTTCTATAATTTGTTATATTAATGATCTTCTTTAAATTATTACTAAAAATGCCATCCAGGGGAACAGGAAGGTAGACTCTGTTTTGTTCTTCCCTTTATCTGTGAACTTCATTTAAAAAATCACTTCATTTTCAGCACCTTGGTTTTGTTGTTTTTGCCAGAAAGTAACTTTTCTGTTCAACAGTATATTAATGCAGAATAGAAATAAAGATGCTTTTAAAAATTCTTTCAAGCACAAAAGGAGATGGTTTTCAACAGATAATTTTACATATTTACATATTTTACCTTAAGCATTTTGTAGTCTCTGCCTACTGGTGAATGGATCAGATTTTTACACTCTTTCAAAATGAACCAGTTTGGCTTCTAAGCCACTGCAAAGGACGGAAATGAATTCTAACTTTTTTTTTTCCGCTTCATTTTCGCATCTTCGCATTTCCTTATTTCACATGGTTTAAAATAAAATGCCTCCAGCTTTATTTTTCCTTTCTCAAGAGCAAAGTGAATGTGACTTTTCGGAGGGGTCACAGGATGCCCTGGGGGCCCTTGGGTGTTGTTGGGCCGCTGCCTGCTTTCAGCTTGACTGAAGGGCTTGTCAGAGTTTTCATCTCCTAAGAAACGAGCCGCCGGCGCTGGCCAGGAGCAGGGGAAGGCAGCAGTCTGAGTCCCACGCTGGTTCTTTCCCACTGACATCAAATCCTGAGGTTTTGAAATTAATCCCACACAAAGACAGCCCTTCATTGTGGTGCCTGTTTGAAATTAGACTAGCAATAATGACCTTTCTAAGATGTCTCGTTGTTAAGATAGACCCCCTGTTGAGTCTGAAAGGCTGCTGAGGGCCTCTCCCCGACTCCCCCGACCAGAGTGGGTGAGATGCCCCAGCAGTCAGGTCAAGGTGACCGCCTGGCTTGGCCGGAGGTGCTGCCCGGTGGCAGGAAGTGGCCGCTAGCCCAGATGGCTGGGCTGCCTCGGGCCCCTATGACCTGGAGCCACCGTTGCTTCCCAGGTCTGAGCCGCTGACTGTCCCCCGCTGAGAACTGCTCTCACCTCCAGGTAAAACAGATTCCTTGAGTTCTAACCGGTATTTTTGTTAAAGGGAACTGGAGCCATAAAGGGACTCGACCTGAACATTAGCAAAGAAAGCAGTCATCCCTCCAAGGAGGAGGAGCCCCCAAGGGGCACAGAATGGGGACCGGTGGTCCTCCGCAGAACCCCCGCTGAACCCCACTTATCTTGCTCCTTTTACACAGTGAGTTTTCTTCCCCGTAGCACGTGGCTTCCACAGCAGACTGCCTTGCCGGGGACGTGGATGGAGTCGGGTGCAGCCAAGTGGGCCAACCCGGGTTCAGGCATCTGACTGTGCCCTCTGAATCCGGAGCAGCATAGCCGCCTCTCCGCTGGGCCCTGGGCACTCGTCCACTGTCTTTGCGGTACCTACGGGCTCTTCACACGGAGGCGACTAAGAAAACATTTCTCAGGGAGAACAGACTTGAATGGTAACATCCCTGCATATTAACAGAAACGGAGGAGTATTTAGAGCTTATGTGGTTTGAATGTGACCTTCTTACCAGACTAGCTCAGAATAACAATTTAGTTATTTTCGAAAATGGCTGTACTTCTAAATAATTAGATATTGTAATCATTTCCATCAGTGACTCCATTCGGAGCCCTGTTTCAGTTAACATGGTCATTGTGCTACCGTGGCCTGCATGTAGCGCTCGGTCTTTGGAAATAGGAAGTGTATGATAAGCGTTCTGTTATTTCTGCTGCCCACCACAAGCTCTGCTATATTTTTCCCAGTGTTCCTATTTGGAGAAGGATTTTGTGCTGTTGAATTTTGATATTCCTAGTGTCCTCTGCAAAGGTTGTCTCTCATTTGAGTTGCTTCTTTTAACCCTTGGCAGTGGTTTTGAAGAGAAGAGGCATGTGAAGACGGTCTGAGTATTTTGTAAACAACCAAAGCTGATTTATCAAAAAGAGCACTTTTTTCTAGTGTAACGGTCTCTGTCAAACTTCTTTCTCTTTTCCGAGTGCTGGAGAATGTGCTGGGTCTGGCCTTTGCATTTGGAAAGTTAGAATGACGCCTCCTTCTCTGTTTTAATATATTTCACCTCTCTGAGGCAGACGGATCAGAAGCTCACAAGGAAAAGCGATGCCCTTTCCTGCGGCGACATTAACCAGAATCACGTGGAAAACAATCCAAGCCTTGTAGGAAAAGGGAGCCATTAAAATGTGCCCTGAGCGATTGGCTGCACCCAATCTTGCAGCCTGGCTCACTCGCGGCAGCAGACAGGAGGCTGCTCCCCTGGATGGAGAGAGCCTTGTTGTAGTGCCACAATTAAAATCAGCTCCTCTGCCAAAAATAAAAGGGAGGAGGGAGGAAGGAGAACATCAAAGACAGACTGAAATGTGTAGTTAGTAGTAAGAGTGGTCTCCTCTTGAACCACAGCCTGCAGCGATTCACGGCCCCCTTGTTAATGAGAAATTTTGACCTCTGGTTTGTAAGTTAAACTTGTAATCCCAGCTAATGAAGTAAATCACTTCCAACTTGAGTCTGTTGTTCCCGTCTGCTTTGCACACTGCGTCTGAGAGTGAGGATCCAGGTCCACACACACAGATTGAAGGGAAATATAATTATTCAGTGACCGCAGAGTTTCTTGCGTGTTGAGGATGTGCTCGCAGTAACACTGCAGGCGTGGACTGTGGACCTGTCTGTTATTTCATTGTAACCTGTGTGTTGATAAGAGAGAGAGCCTGTTAGACTCTGGGTTGAACAGCAGGATTGAATGACACTTCAGGGAGGTAAATTGGGGACCCTACACACTGCATTTCTTTAGCAAATGGAAATCCTAGTTCCAGGCCAACGACCGAGCAGACAGTCTAGTACTTTGCATAGGGTAGAAGTCGAGGCATATTTACTGAAGAAATGCTGCTGAATGAAGGAAGGACTATTCGGGTGATGTAGAGCTCAGAGGGAAAGAAGAAAGCACCGCTCAGGAATGTGAGTCCAAGAAAGGCAGGGCTGAGGAGTCTGCGAGCTGCCTGACTTCCGGCTGCGCTGAGCCTTGGTGGGGAGGAGAGGAGCCGTTGTGTGAAACTGGGTACAGCTGGGATGCTAAGGGGCTTGCTTCTTCGAGTGACAGATTATAGCTGAGAGAAACGGGCTAAAAAATTACCCTATTTTAATTACGTGAGGGCAGAAGTAGGTATTAGACTGTTGTTTCGTCTAAAGGGGATTTCATTCAGAGAGCTGTTGACATTCTGTTGGAGGTCCATGACACATCACGTTCTGTTCCTCCCGGCTAGTCTAAATTCTCTAAAATTTTCCGGATTATTGTGTAAATGATCTTAGCTTCTGACCGGGAAACAATACTATTAATTTTTGGCCAGGAGACAACTCAGCCCCACAGTCTGGTGCCAGGGCATAGTGACCTGTCAGAGGTGAATCTTCTGGTCTTTGGGGAATGTTATCCCTCCCCGCAAGGGGAGGATGCCTTTTCTGGAGTTCAGGCCACCACCCTCCAATCTAGGCCGACTTTCCCAGTGGTGGGGAGGTGGCTGCCCTCGGAACCGGCTGGGACCACGAGGAATCAGTGGGAGCTCCCATGGGGCAGGGGTGGCACTGCCCACCCTCTCTGTAGGCGGGATCTCTGTGACAAAAATCCCACAATGGAAAATGGCTCTTGTTCAGAAAAATCGGGGAAGCCGGAATTTTCCTTCTCATATTGCACATCCTTGTCCCTCTCCAATCCCTTGGCAGGTATCAGCCTAAAACGTTTCTGAAGACTTAAAGCTTTCTAGGCCTAAGGAGGGAGTTTGGGAGGGAGGATGTTTTTAAACCACTGACTCCTGTTATTTCTGTTGAAGGGCACTTAGACCTAGTCTCCTTGTGTCTCTCTTGTTTTTCATTAGACAAAGCAAAGCATTTGGGCATTTGTCCTGTTTGTATGACCCTGGAGAGAGCTCTGGGGTGAGTCCCCAGGCAGGAAAAGTCACTGACCGGTGTCCGAAATCTGAGGACGTCTGGGGCCTGAGGCTGGGCATTCAGATCTACTACAAACAACAGTGCGTTATACGTCAAGTGATTTGAATAATCTCATTTTTCCTCTAGATTTGAGCATGTATAAAATACTGATTTCATCAACAAGTGGAGAAAATGCCACAGCGAATCTGTTCTCCGATGGTGTACCTGGTATGTGGAGAAGCCTGTCGAGAGGGGCCATGAACATAATCATGGTTTATTAGCGGCATGGGCTTTTTCCTTTGTTTCTTTTCATTTAATTCAAAGTGAAACAACTCAGCATGCAAAACTAAAATTAGCTGGGAAAAAAAAAGGTGTAAGTGAATAAACAGGCAGATCCATTAGAGTCGATGGGTTATCGGATCCCTTGCCACTCCTCAGACAGCGGCCTATTAAAAGTGGTAATGTTTGCTGCCGGCGGTGCCCCTGGCAAAGAAAGAAGGCCAAGGCAGGCCTATTTCACATGCATCAGACACAAGAATTAAATAGACCAATGTTCCCTAAAAGACTGAAGTACATCTCTTTCTGACGTTCATCTCAGGCAAAAATTCATTGATCTCAGTATGTCCCTTGGCAATTATAAAATATTAAATCCAAGTCACACTTTTCTAGTTGGCTTAATTTTTTCTCTTTTCACAGCTTTCTATTTGATCAATTTTAACAAGTTAGGAATAGCATCTAATAATAAAAAGTGCAGAGTTTAAAAGTTTGTTCTTTTGACATTCTTTTCCTTTTTATTTTGTTTTGGGTTTGCATTAACTTTGTGTTATATAAAATGACTTGAATGCCGTTTTAACAAACAGAAAGAACATGAGTGAACCAGAAGGTTCTTTACTGAGAATGATATTCATTAGTAGGCATCCAACGATAAGGACAGCCTGATTTAAAGATTTTTTTTTTTTTTTTTTTTTAGCACATGCCCAAATAGCCTTCTTATTGTTTTGTAGTCATTGATGCTCCTCTATTCCAAAATTAGCATGTGGTTTCAGCTGGGAGTATCTGGTGGGGCTAGAGGTTTGACTACGTTCCACTGAGATTTACAAAAGATGCAAATTCCTTTCCCCATTTTTATGCATATGTAATGTTTTAGTGTTTGATGTTTGTTAATTCAGAATATACCATAAATGCTAACGCAGACACACATGATAAAAATGCAGAATTTTGGCAGCCCATTTTCATTAGACCCTCAGTATGGGAATTATTGGGGGGAAATGTTGCATAATAGTAACTTTACTCTCTGATTCTCCTTGCCATAAACTATGAGCACATCCCCCCCAAATTTATAATATATAGAATCATTTTATGTGAAATAATAAATTCTTCTGAAATAAAATCTATTATGGTCTTCTCCCTACATTTAAGTTTTCATATGGGAAAGTTATTCACCTGTTGTCTACCAATTCCTTTATTTAAAGCTTTATTTATATTATGTCATTTAATTCTTACCACAAATCCATGAGGTCATGGTATTGTCTCCACTTTGCAGATAAGAGGTGCAAGGGGCCCACGATCATCCAGCAACTTCCCTCTCTGGCCAGCCAGGCCAGTCCCTCTGGCGTTTTGACAGCAGGATCAGAAAGAAAGAGAGGAGGAGAGAAGGTCAGGGTGGACAGGGAGAGGCCTGGGGGATAGCGCTGAGGAGTGTTGAAAAGGATGGGGCCACTGCAGTACGTCAGGGAGAAAGCAGGAGAGAAGAGACAGGTTCAGAAGCAGTGCTGTGATCTGTGTATCTCCCTTAGACTGTTGGAGGAATGTCAGGATTGAACTTGGCTTATTTTGAAATTTATTATGTTTACGTTGACAGATTGTGTTTCTTTGTCTGAGACACTACCCTGAGACTGGACCCCATAGGTGATGGCTTTATAGTTACTAAGGTTGTTTTGAATGGCCAATTACAATGTTTCAAAGAGAATTCAAAATAGAGCTGGGGACGAGAAGGCTCTAAGCCTGGTGGCTTCTGGGCTCCTAATAGGCTTTGCTTGGGTCTCTAAAGGGGCATCAGATGCAGAATTTTCTGCACAGTCTCTTTGTGGTTGCCATTGTCATTCTCCTCCTATGCCTGTTTTCCCTTGCTGCCCATGCGTCCTCACCTCTCTCACCATGCAGTGATGATGCATTGCATTTTCCTCTCTGAGATGGCAAGAAAAGACCTCTCAAGGAGATGATTAGCGCCATAGGGGTCCAAACTGCCGTGAGCCATCTCTCATCGTGGTCCAAACAACGCAGGGCCTGCTGTGGGACCCTGAGCCCAGGGCCAGCAGTGTGTACAATCATGGTGGGCTCACCCACCTCTGCGTCTCCCACCGTGGTGTCCCCTCTCTGAGTCACTAGCCTCCATTAAGGTTTGCTCCCTCATCTGCATGCTGAGATCTCTTTTATCACTCCAGCACCTAGAACATGGCTTGACACAGAACAGGTGTCCGGGTAGGATCTGTTGAGCAGAAGGATGGATGGATGGGTGGATGGATGGATGGACAGACTGGAGAATGGTTGAGAGTATCTCATAAACTCATGTCAGGAACTGAAATAGGCTACCCTCCGAGGAGCATCGGCGTTTTTTGGAAGACCTAATGTTGATGAAAATAATCAATAAACAATCTATGATAGGAATAGAAAAGATTTTTATTTGAGCCAAACTGAGGACTATAGTCTAGAAGACAGCCTCTCGGATAACCGTGAGGAACTGCTCCGGAGAAGCATGGTTTTCAGCACAGTGTTATATCTTGGCAGAACAAGGAACATTAAACAAGTCTGGGATACATTCCTTCAGGGTTTCCATAAAAAAACAGATCCGCACGTACATAGCGAGTCAGTATGGCCTGGCACCTGGGAAGGGAGTCTTATCAAAGGAGTATGCACTGGCACCCCAGTAAGGTAGGCATTTCATCTTTATTTTTAATATGGACATTCTTTACTTCTGGTCAGTGCACCCTTTTCTTAATAATTAAAGCAGACGTACAACGTATGTTTGATAGGCCACAAACAGTCTGCTTTAGTTAGCATACAGTTCAAGTTAATTCACGTATAAGCCAGAATGACTTCCCCTTTTCTCAATATGTGAACATTTCTTCTATCACTAGGAAGGATGCTACACACACCAAGAAATGTTACCCCAAAGTGGGGTTACCCAAAGTTTGCTCCTCTGACCACCTGTTATGCGACTTACCTGAGCAGCCTTTTCATTGGGTCCTTGGGCCCCACTCAAGACCTACTTAATCAGAAATGTGTCTTTTCAATAGGTGCTCCAGAGGATTCTTTTGCACTCCAGTATTTGAGAAGTTCTGCTTTTCTAAAGGTAAGATTTTAGGAGTTAGGATGCTGATCTGCTGGAGGGGGAGTGGAAACTCTTCCCTGGTATCAGCAGCTAAAACCTCCTTTCTGCACCACCTACTGTTAGCTGATCCAAGGCAGCCCGAGGACCCAGCCCAGCCTCCTGGACACTAGGTGCCCTCCCTGCCACAAGGCTGAGGCTACATTCGCATAGCCCCCATCCCATCTCTCTCAGCAGCAGGCTTCTTCCTCACGCCCTGGGATCAGGGTGGACCTTTTGCAACTTTGCCCTGCCCCCATGCTGCCCACATTAAGCTCCTTGAGTAGCAGGGACCTTGTGAGAGGCCCCAGGCCCTTTGGACCAGTGGTTCGCTACAAGCTTGTCCAATTCCCCCAAAGGAGGGAGCCTAGACATTTCCTTCTGGGATTCTGGGAGGAATTCCTGGGATATAGCAGCTGTCAGCGTGGGCTAACGAAGCTATTTCTTCTTAGGTGGAGCCTCAGTTATCTCATCTGTAAACTGGGAGTAAGAAGAACAACCTCCTTGGTTGCTTCGGACACCACGGGAATGTGAGAAACCTTTGCAAGTCTTAAAATGCGCGAAGGCTCTGCACATATGTGCCCATTTTAACCTTGAATTCTGACGTGTATCTGGGGTGATTTCCTTCCTCCATTGGTGGATCTGGGGGAAGGCTCTCCTCCCCTCCAGATCTGAACCTCTATGTGCCTTGCGAGAGAAAAGTGCCTCTTGAAGGTCTGTGTGCAGTGAAACTTTGCACAGGCTTTGAGGGTTGCAGAATGTCCCCACAATCCCCTTTTCCAGATTAAATGTTTGCATCTCTTGTTATATTAGGAATTAGACCTGCTTTGTGATCATTGCACTTGAGTACCTGTAAAATACAAAAATACACCAGTGGCTGGTGTCTACGAATTGGCTGTTTTTGTGTGCATGCGTGCCTCCGTGTGTGTGTGTGTGTGTGTGTGTGTGTGTGTGTGTGTGTAATATATATTCAAGGCAGGCAAAACGGTTTACATATTCCCAACCCATGTTAACAAGATGTTCTTTCCTGAACATAACACGTTTCTGAAAATTCCTGAATCTTTCACTCTGAAACTCAACAATATTGTTATTAAAATGGTTCTGTTTAAAGAACACCTTGGTGAACTTTGTTTCCTTTTAACAACATGCTCATTTTAAAGGTCAGGGTGTTGAGTTGCCAGAGCAGTGACCTAAAAATAACCTTTCCCTTCTACCTGAGTTTCTGATCCGTGATGTTAGCATTTGGAAACGCTCTTTCCCTTCTAGTTTCTGCAGCTAAAGGAGTTGCAGCCCCTTCAGCTATACTCATAAAAATTTGCTTCCAGACAACATGGTCTGTTTATTGTGTAATAATCGAAATGGCACTAAATTGCTGTGATTGCCGAACACTTAGGAATTGTATTAACCTCTTAAGTGCTAAGTGGTTTGCTGTCGTCTCCCCACTCAGATGTGCAGCCCCAATGTGTTTCTGTCCCTTTGCTTCCCTCAGTCAGTGTCAAGGGGGAAGCAAGTGTCCTCAAGCCCAAGTCCTGCCTGGGAGCAGGCTGGACCCTGCTGGCACCACACTAACCAGAAGAGAGTCCTGCCTGACCTGTGGCAGAGATGATAAACTGTCCCTACCGGGGATCCCGAGAGGCTGGATTGGCCAGTCTTGGCCCACCAAGTCCCACTTCTGTCCCCTGGCTTAAGCTGTGTTGTGTGTTTTATGACAGTTGCTTTATAGCTCAGTTTGAGAATTGATTCTCCAAAGAGCAAAGAGAATAGCTCGTCTTTCTGCCAGAGCCATCATCTTTGGGAAGCTGCTCCCAGGTGGGCGAGTCCCGGCTGCCCTACAGGAGGCCAGGTGGCCGTGGCCTTGGCGTCCCTGCGCCCTGCCCGCCGCCAGCCCTGTCCACACTGCTCTGGCGAGCGGCAGGCCCGGGAAGGAAGAGTTAACCAGAAATGGAGCGGCGCTGCTCCAGGGCAGGCAGCCTCGCTGCAGAACCGAGCAGCGTTCGTGCAAAGGCAAGTCATTTCCCGAAACACTGCAGACACACGGCCTCGGGCAGCCTAAAACCTTTGGAGACCAAAATGGCTCGCAGGGGTTGGAAGTAATAAGGTGTTTTTCCCTTCTTTCTCCTTCACTGAAATTCTGCGAGGTTGCTCTGCATTGCTGGGGAACAATGGTGCTCTTTTTGTGTTTTCTATGGGTATTAAGATCCATTACGCTGTGACATTTTTAAGATTGGTTATCCTGTACTTTGGTGTTAAATTGAAGTTGTTTGTTTTGAATTTAATTCTTTCATTTTTCACATGGAAAAGGCAGCTCTGCGTTGCGGTGAGGCTGGCTCACTGAAGTGTGCCCGTACTCATTCGGGGGTGGATATCTTTGCCATCCCCGGACCTCGGCAGAATTAGCCCTGATAGAACATGACCTATTTCTCTATTGGAAAGTCTGTAAGAATCCTGGGAGACGACTTTAAGAACTAGGAACTAGGGGTCGTCTCCATTGTATGTCGAGGGAGAAACAGGATATGAGCTGGGTTTTAGGAGAATGTTATACATCCAATCTGTTATGCCTAACGCAGCCTGCATATAATTATTACTACTCTCTGTTTACGACAGCAGCAAAATCAGCTTCCATCCAACAAATGACCCAGCAGCAGTGGGCCAGCCGCCTCTGAAATGACATCTGTTAACTCTTTGTCAAATGCCCTCTCGTTGTCCCTTTTCTCCTAAACAGCTCTGTGGTTAATTATGACCTGAGCATATGACACAGTCTTTTCGAGTGGAGAGAACTGCTTAGGGGCAAGGAGAAATCTAGCTCCAAGAAATTGTCTTCTCTCGCCCTTAAAAAAAAAAAAAAAAAAAAAAGCCATAGCAAATTGTTTTAAAATAAACATTCATTTATTGCACCAGAATAGGTTGTTGGAGTACGTTTTGATTAAGCCCTAAGATTACAGGGTTATTGTATAGCATTGTGTCGAGAGGCCCAGCCATTCATGGAAAAAAGAATCACATCAAATTCTTGTCAAACCATAAAAAAGTTTCCGTCAGAGGAGCTTGGGCGGCCTCGATGCCTGTGAGCGGGGAGCTGGTATACATTTGTGTCACTGTCACCAGCTTCACTGATGGTGAAAGGTAGTTTCATCTTAATTGGTCGCTGGAACTTGGAAAGACCAATCTGATAAACCAGAATTTAGGCCCAGCCCCAATGAAGGAGGTACAAAGTGCCTTCTATATCCGGCTGCCCGGGGTGCGTGTGGGCTGGGTTTTCTCCCTGGAGCCTGTGTGGAGTGGCTGGTTTCCGGTACTGGCACTGATGTTCCATCTGGGGGCCTCCTTGCCTTCACCTCCTATGAGATGAGCTCAAGGATGCGAGTCCTAGGCCTTCACTTTGGATCCATACATCAGCGCAGGGCTGAACCTGTGCCGATCTGGGTCTCTACTCTCTGCCTGCTCACGGCCCTGGGTTCTTGCAAGTGTCTCCCGCTGTGGTAGCCCCCTAGCTTCTTTGTGTGGAGATCATCAAAGGATTGCCGGGAACTGGGCTGAGCTGCCCCCCCAACAGGGCCACAGGGCTCAAGCCTGCCCTGGACACCAGTCCTTGAGAAATCCAGAATGGCATCCCTAACCTTGCCTGGGAAGGGCACTCGGGGGTTGAGGGGGTCCCACCGTGACTCAGGAGGGTCTCCCAGGCCCTTCTAGCCTGAAGGAAGCTCCTGATAGCCGCCTCCCAGCTGGACCCCTGCCTTGAGATTGAGGGGCGTAGTTAGTAGCCTGGGAGATTCCAAAGCTTTCAATCTAAGACCCCAGGGAGCCCTGCCCTGTGTTTGGCCAACGCTGACGAGATAGCCTGGCCACAGACGTGACCAGGGACTGTTCTACAATCTGGAGACAGTAAATGGAAACCCATTCCAGACTGATGTTCTCAGATACTGTTTTCATTTCCTTTGTTGCTTCTGAAGGAAACGCATTTTAGTATAATTCAAAAACCACATTATCTGCCCAAATCCCATCTTTCCAGCAGCATCCTCTGAGTTGCCGCCCACATGGGTTCTGAGGCCTGCTCCTGCCCCTTGCCAGCTGGAGGGTCTGTGGGCTCACCTCTTGGAAACCACAAGGGTGAGAGGGGTCCCTGAGGGTCCCAGGCGTAAGCTTGTGTGAAGACAGCAGTGCTGCCTCAGACGTCAGTTTCTTTTCACGCAGGCATTTAAATGTGTCTTTGCTTGGAAGCCAAGGCCAGACCAAGTAGATGGCGAGTTTTGGGGTAGAGGGAGCAAGTCCAGAGGTGGCCAGCTTGGGGCAGGAGGAGCGGCATTTCTGCGTGGATTTATTCATTCCCTAAGACCCTGACACGGGAGGTCCTAGACCTTGAATCAAAGTCGGACGTTTCGGCTCTGTCCTTCCGTGCTGTGTCTCCAATCCCCATCGGGAATAAGCATCTGTGTGAGAGAGGTCCTGTTTCCTAATTTGTGGCGACTGGTTCCTCCAAGTAATATAATTATATTCAAAGTAAGTTATGTGATGGGAGCAGAATTTGAAGAGAGTATTGAAATGAGTGCTTTGGCTTTGTTTCCTGCTGGCTTTCTGCCAGGGAGGGGGGGCTGCGAAATGAGTTTCCGAAACCATGCCCCACGATGCACAGCCAGATGCTGGGACAGATCTCATGTGGTCTTTTTTTTTTTTAATTGAAATATAGTTGATTTACAATGAGTTTCAGGTGTACAGCAAAGTGATTCAGTTATTCATATACCATACACACACACACACACACACACACACACACACATATATTCTTTTTTAGATTCCTTTCCATTATAGGTTATTACAAGATATTGAGCATAGTTCCCTGTGCTATACAGTAGGTCCTTGTTGGTTATCAGTTTAATATATAGTATTATGTATATTTTAATCCGAAACTCCTAATTTATTCCTCCCCCTTCCCCAACTTTCCCCTTTGGTAACCGTAAGTTTGTTTTCCATGTCTGTGAGTCTATTTCTGTTTTGTAAATACTTTCATTTGTATCATGTTTTGAGATTCCACACATATCTCATGTGGTCTTGTGCCACATCGCAGAACCTTGGCCCTGGCTTATCCCTGGTCCATCCTGCAGACAGCATCTCCCCTGCGTGATTGGATAAACTGCCTCGTGTCACCCCTGCTTGCTTCGCTCGAGTTTTAAGAACTCGATCCTGGGAAAGGGAGGAGAAGGAGCTGATCATGCCCGGACCTTGTGCCCATGCTGCGTGATAAGGTGCAGGCCATAGAAGCTTCCTTGCAGGTCTCCTTTCCCAAGATGCTCCTCTCCTGCTCGCCCAGGACACAGGTGGGGTGTGGACTCGCTTCAGGAGGGGCCCTGAAAAGTGCATCCGGGTCAGTCCTGAGGCCAGGACCCTTCTCTGCCACATCCACCGGGCTGAGGCTTTGGGCCTGAGACTCAGGACCTGAGGTTTCCTGTTAGACTCTGTCCTGGGGATGCACATGTGGATTAAACTAGAGCAATATGTTTTCCTAACAGCATCTCGGCTGAAAAGCCAAGCAGATAAATGGAGACAAACCCACAGCTTTATGTGAATGAAAAGCGGCTGATGGGGGGCTGCTTCCGCCTGAAGCACCACAGCTGGCAGGGCTGCCCTCCTGGGCTTGCACACCCTCCCACCTCCCCCTCCAGCCCTGACCCTGGAAGCACTCACCGTAGGGCTCCTTCTGCCTCTGAACACCCCTCACCGGGCCTCTGCTCTGGCCAAACCGGCTTCCTGCCCATCTCCAAACCTGCTGTGTGCTGCCCACCCCTTGGCCATGGCCGTCACCCATGCTGTGCTCTCTGTGCAGGATTTTCCCTCAAGATCGTCTGGCACCGTGGTGAAGAGGACACAGTCCACCAGAGTCACTGTGGGCAGGTCGCTTACCTGCTTCGTCTTCAGTTTCCTCACCTGTCAGTGGGGATGATGATGTCTACCCCGCAGAGCTCAGGGAGGACTGAGGGAATGATTCACATGAAGCCCTTAGCACAGCACCTGGGACACAGCTAACGTTTGTTGATCATCATCATCATTATTATTGTTACTACCACCTCTCCAAACACCACCTGGCCTCAGGGCATGGTTCTCTCTCTGCCCCACTGATCAGC